CATATATAAAGGGCAACAAAGATCAAAAATCGATAAATAACCTTGGTGCATGCTTATTTATTAGGAGAGTTATTGAATTAAGTAATAAATTATCATAAATATAATTTTTTGTGTAATCAAGTATCTACATATTACAAATGAATTTGTATCAGAATCTACTACCTTTTTGAGAAGACAGAGATAGAACAAATTATGAGAACAAAAAAAAACAATCTTTAGAAATATCTACAAGATAATAGCTACTAAATTCCAACCCTAATTGATACTTAACTTGTGGAACTCGCAAATTGGTTGGGGAGAATTGTTGAACTATAAAATTTTACCATATGATCTTTCTAGTACCCAGGATAATCCCAGTACCTCAGATTAACATATCACAATCCTTTTGATTACTGAAAGTAAAGATCTCTCAAAACACTTTTAGACTATTTATAGTTAATTTTGCTATTAGCAAACTTAACATAAAATATTCTAAAATATTCTATAGTCCTATCTTATCACATGTAACTATTATTTTCAAAGAATACTTGAGTACTATTTATGACAATATAGCTTAATAGTTTAGCAAAACTATTAGTATAATTATTATTATTATTTATCTTAGTTTATATTTTCAAATATTATATAACTCAATTATGTATTTAAAGAAGGAAATTCTTTCTCTGGAGACTTCTTAAGATTTATCAAACAATAAATTACCTTTAACCTGAAATTATTGTCTTGCCTTTTCTACCTAAATCACCAATAATAAATCTCTTCATTTATTATTGTCCAAATTATGAACTTTTACATATTATGTTAGAAGTCTAACTTGATGCTTTTCTATACTATTCTCTGTTTCTATCTGATTCCTAAGAGATGAATTGGATAGGTTAATAATATTATTTTTTCCAATGTTTCTTTGAAACTTGAAATTTCTAGTAATTGAGCTCTTTTGATAGATTTTCTTGTATTGAGGTAAAGAACCATATATTTTTTTTCTATATTTGTTTCAATTATATATCATTTTTCTATCTTTGTGTCTTCTGTGCACCTTGACACTAGGCTAGCTTTGATTCTTAATTTTTAACAGAACTGATATATTTGAAGTACTCTATTTTAAGATGTTTTTTGATCTTATCTAGAATTAATTTTTTCTAAATTATCTGTTACTGCTAAAATTTGCTTCTTGCAACTACCCAGAGTTTCTGTTTTTTGTCAAAGCTGAATTTAAGAGTAGGATATTCTGAACTCCATTTTATCTATTTTTTTTTCCAGGATTCTATAAGCTATTTTAATTTATTTTCCTAAATTATCTCAGTTATAGATAGGTACCATCCTGAAATAGATTCTTTTCTTGGTTTCTGCAAAAGTTGGAGCATTCATCAGTTTTATACTTCTTTTGTTTTATAATTAACTAGGTAGTCTATATATATTAGCTTTTTGTTTCTAAAAAATGGGATTGCTTTTCTATATTCTTCCATTGACAAGTATTTTTTAATTGAACTGTTTTCTTGGTTCCATTAAAAAATATTATTCTATTTTTAGCTTTGAAAGGTTATGCCAATATTCTTGATCAGCTTTAGTACTTGTAGTAAGAAGTTATCCTTTCCTGAAATATTATTCAATAAGTTATATATAAGCATATTGACAGGCTCCCAATATTTAACTTGTGCTTACTTAAGTCTAATAATTGTTATAGTTCTGGCTAATCCTGAATTATTTAATCTATTGTACAATCCTATTATCTAACTTTCTTTCTGTAACATTTAAATACTCTTTAAGTTATAAATCTTAGAATAGTATATTATATTGTTGGGTATTGATTGTTATAATATAGCTTTATTTTTAAATAGTTTTCTATAGACCATTGTTAAGATATTGCATATCTTTCAAGACAGTATACTATATTGCATTCTGAATTCAATTCTTGGTATTAGTACTCTATTCAAAATATAAAGACTTTGTTTGTTAGCTTTTTATTTTTGAAGAGCTCTCATAATTATGTCAATTTTTTTAAGCACTTATTCTTTAAGCTCGATAGCTGTTTTTTTGATTGCCTATTCAAATTTCTAGAAACCTTACTTGTTCTGTTCTATCCAATTATCTTATTACTTCTTTGTTGACTTCTGCTTGAACTTTCTCAGGATACTGATTGAGATTATTAATAGTTAAAAAAAAAGAAATTTTAATATTTATGATATATATATATATATATTTTAAACTCTAGCTTATTTTTGTGCCAGTTTATATACTTTATTATAATCAAGATATATCCTAGGAACAATTGGGATGAGTAATTATCTATACTGATTAAAAATTTACAGATCAATAAATAATACAATGGATATCTATTTATAGTATATCTTACTCAATTATAATAGAATAACTATATAACCATTTAATATAAACCTGTTTTTTTATTTTAACTAAGCTATAGAAATTTGAAAGTCTATATATTCAAACTTTTGAAGTGACTCTGCTATTAAACTTATTTCTGAAAATAGCATTTTTAGGGTTTTTGTCCACTAGATAATTTGTTGTTATCCCTTTTATTAGGAAAACTAATATGTCAAAAACTTATTTATTCTGCTTAGTATTACTGATATTAGGAGTCTCTTATATAAAAAAGCTCTATTAATACTTGGAGTTTTTTTCTATTTGAGAGCTTGTCTTATATCTCAGCTTGTCTTTTTGCTTAATTAGGGTTCAATCTTGTATGAAAAATATTATATTACTCAATTTTTGTTTGAAGCTTGTCTTGTATCTTTTTTAGTATTATACTGGATTAAATTCTATCTTGTTATGGGCATGTTTGATTATTTTTTATAAGTGAAAAGTCCCTTTTTTATATCATAATTAGATTATTAGTCCTGTATAAGGATATTTTTTCACTTCTCTTAATCTATTTGGAATTTGTATTGCTTTATATTCTACCTTATTATAACTATGGTAAGTAGATAAATTATTTTTATTGCCTTATTAAGATACTTGATTGTCATTATGGGATAGATAAGATCATTGTAACACTTGTGACTTATTTTTATTTGATACTTATATAACATTGAACTCTGGACCTTGTGATTATGACCTGAGAGTACTATTATTATGCCATAGATCCACATGTTAATATTTCTGATATCTATTTTATTAAACTTAATAAATACAATATTGTTTTTTTCAAAATACTACAATTTGTAAAAATTGAATTATTGTCTATTAATTTAGTATAATAGTACTCAAATTTTATAACTTTTTGGAATAGAAGTTCAGCTATAGTTATTGACTTTAATAAAGTAATATATAAATTAATACAGAAATTATAAAGGTTGTTACATGGAGCTATATATTATTTACATCACTAAACTCTCTAAAACTTAACCTTTAACAAATTTACTAAGTAGCTTATTGCCTGGAGATATTCAGTTGGATTAAATTTCTACTACTACTATTATCTAGAAAAAAAACTAGACACCATTTATTGGATATTCAATTCTTCTGGATCTTTCTCAATTAGCATATTATGATAGACTTGCTAATTCTAAGAAAGAAGAAATACACATTTCTTTTGATCCTAATGATTATAGCCTGTCATTAATACTGAGTGTATTTAAAGAAAAAGTATGGGTTTGATAGTATTTTGTATTATGCAAAGGTGAAAAAACATTTGAATTAGAATAAAAAAACCTTGGAGTAATTTTGAAATAAAAAAATAGTTGTGTTTTCATGAGTAGAATGAGTTCTTAAAGTTCTATTCTAATAAGAGAGATATTCATTCTATAGCCATAACACTTTCAGAGAATAATAAGAGAGAGGAGATCACAGTTTATATGATGGTTATTTATTTACATATTTAGTATATAACTTATAATAGATCTAAGGTTCTTATAGAGTTTAGAAAATACATTTACGTTATACAGTATATCATATATATTCTTATTTACATTTCTGCTAATTAATCCCAATCTTTAGTCAATCAATCTATCCAAAATCCAATATAACAGAAAATTTAAGGTCAAGCTAGGATAGGTAAAATTCTTCAGAAAAACTGAGAAAAAAACTATTATATATTAAGAGAAAAGCTATTTTTACCTGTGATGGTGATGTTAGTTATCTAGGCTAGTATGAAGTTATTGGTCTACACTTCTTTTTAAACTTTGAAACCTCCATAAGGAAGAGAAGGAGAGTATTTTTTCATCTGGTTTTTTCTTCATAAAAAAGCTTTTTTGTCATTAACTTCTTAGATAGAGAGTTTTTTAAAAAAAAAATAAACAAGAAAGGTATAATATAACTACTGCTAAACAAAGCAGGCATTTTTAAAGAAAGTTTTAAAGTTTTATTACTCTCAAAATATAAAGTTTTGGAGGAATGCTTCTTTGAAAATAATGGTTAGGGATTTATGGCAAAGAGGGTTTTTATTTTTTTTTCAAATTTTATAATTATATATTAATTTTAGTAATTAAATATAATAATTTTAAAATCTTTTTAATTTTTTAATAGTTATTTTAATAAAAAATAAACATGATATTTTAAGATATTATTCTTATTCTATATTTTTTTAAACTTAAACTTTATTTGCTTTTTTAATTGAAAAAAAAGAAAATATATTTTTATTTTTTTACTTAAAGATATAAGAGTTAATAATATTCTTATAAATTTATATATCAAATAAAAATAACTTATAATAGATTTCAAATTTTTATAGATTCAAAAAAATGCATTATATTTTTTTACTAATATATTTTATTATATCAAATTATAGAGATAAAATTCTTTCCCATAGATCCTTGGCTATCACTTTCAAAGAAACATTCTTCCAAAACTTTATGTTTTGAGAGTAATAAAACTTCAAAATTTTCTTTAAAAACACCTGCTTCATTTAGCAGCAGTCATATTTTACCCTTCTTGTTTACTTTTCCTCTTCAAAAACCCTCTACCTATAGCCTCAACAGTAATGGTTTTTGTGCATCTCTCACTGGTGCATATGGTTCTGGGATAATCCAGGTTTTTTGGATTGAGGTCTAAAAGTGTGGTATAAAGTCTTTTCTTAAATCTTCTATGGATTGGCTAGAGTTTTCGATTTCCTTTTGTTGATCTCTGATTATACTAATATTTACTTGGATCAACTGACCAATTTCCGCGAGTGGTTTGGAAAGAATCATCACGTTCTTTCTGACATTGTTAAGCGATAAAGTTTCTTCCGTTCTATGAGGTTGAAGTGATGTAATATGCTTGAAGAGTCTCCAAGATTCTTGTACTGATTTTTTCCAGCTCTCAGAAAAATTTTTAATATCATCTTCCGAAAATTTCATATTTTCCCGTAGAGCTGCTAAAAATCTAAACGATTCATTGTCAAAACAATACATTGTATTTTTATCTGTTCTTATCTCAATGTTAGATCTTTCCTTTAGATTACTGAGTTGTTCTCTAAGTGTCGGTAATGTATCTCCCGGACGATAAAATGTTGATCTAGCATTTGTGAAGCAGAAAACAATATTGTCCTTGGCGCTTTTGTGAAGGTGTGTTAATAATTCTTGCACACAATACTTAAACACCACGTTTAATCGTGCATTATTGGGCTTAAGGAGAATGTAGATCCCATTTAGGTGTTCGTAATGACCAATGTATCTTAGAATGTTTCCAAAATTTTCCGCATCTTTTTCGATTCCTCTGGTGTCACCAATTCCGGGAGTATCGATTAATCTTACGGATTTATCATAGTCTACGGGAAATATATAGCTTTTACAACCTTGTGTGGCCGACATTCCTTTTTTCTCTGTTTGTTCGTCTAGATCATTGTCACAATCTTTACTTGATTAGACTCAAAGTTTCCATCCATTATTGTGAACTGTGACGGAATTAAGACCGCCATCTCTCCATATCGCGCATCATCTAGAGTATCATATCTCAGATAGTTTGCAAAGGCGTTAATAAAAGTGAATTTTCCTACACCCGTTTCGCCGAGTAATAATATATTTATCTCGGTTGTCGCATTTACTGTGCGGGAATTGTTCTTAATCCATATTCGGTTGCTCCACGGACAACTGCACAAGTCGGTTGAGGTGGAACCGAGATATACTTAACGATATTTTTAAAGTGATCTCTAATTCTTGACTGCAAATATCTTGACTCGCTAAATTCTCCTATTAAAAATATTACCGAGCAACTAACGGAGCTATTTGTTTGACGTATCAATTCAATGATTCTGTCAATAAGAGGGTCAAAAAATGAACTCACGGTTTTGTAATCTAATTCAATCACCCATTCGTCACGCTCCATTTCATGTTTAACTGAATCTAGTAATATCTATAGATTAATACGAATGGATAAAAAATTTAGGTCAAATGTTTATTATTTACCTGAAACATAATCTCTTATAATAGGACAAGTATTTTCTAAATCAAATTCATAAGAGAATGATGTATCTTCTCCAGTAAAAGGAATTTGAATGCGGTCATAAAATCTTTGAATCATATATTGATATTGACTATAGTGTGCACATTTAAGTGATTCAACTGCGCCAGCTCCAACTTTACTTTCAATGAACTTTAAGAATTGTTGCTCGACAAATAATCCTCCACAGGATTCACCAAATCTTAATATAATTTCACCAAACCTCTCTTTCAATAGTTCATGAGCTGTTACTTCAATTTTATCCCTTTCACAATCGACGATCATGAATTTTTCTGAGTACATTGATTTACAGTATATATTTAAAGAGAATTGAAACTAATTAACAATAAGAATATGCGTTAAATAATCAATGACTACCTCCAACAATATTAAAATGCTCCTTTGCAATTTTAATGCAATAGTTGGCGGCGGCTTCGGCTGTTTTATTTAGTCATCATTAAAATCCTTTCAATAAAAAAATAGATAAACAATATTTCTTGGATACGTACGTTCAGCTATGAACTTCAAATTAGCAGAATCTTTATCTTTAATTAATGATGCATTAAATGCACATTCTCTCATGATATTTTTTTCTAGTTCCGACCATTCAGCGGGCACAGTAAG